CAATTAAGATATTCCTAAAACACTGGGAGACTGATAGTGACCTTTTTAAGAGCAATAGCCATGAATCTAAATGTTAGATATCCTGACTTATGATTTGACCAAGTAAGGGATACACCCAGCATGTGTGCCAGAAGTAGTGACTTGAAAGCAATGAACTCTACTGCTTGGCACTATTGGCCCTTCCCTGGCTTCTATTCCTCCCCACCTGGCTCTCAGGACAAAATTTTTTGTGTACCAGCTGTATGTCTCTTTGTAATTTACAGTCCTCTCATTTCCTCTTTCTTATCACAGTTTCCTACTGAACCATAATTCATATGCCAGTTAAATTTTTACAATATTAATTTTTAAATTGCCTAACCTATCCTTGGGAAAGAAGGCTGTTGATGACTCTTGATGGGAAGATATGCTCGTCTTTCTGGCTGGGGCTGTCTGTTTTCCATGCCATGCTGTGAAGGCAGGGCACGGGAAGCAAGGCAGAATGGCAGTCATCATTCAGTCTCTTGGGGCAGAACCGTGTTACGGCATGTTTGCTGCTCAGACGTGGGGGTGGGGAGAATACGGAGGTCCTGGAGCACCAGAGCCACACATCTGCTGTAACTCTGAGGATGGAGAAAGACCTGCAAGAAGCTTCTCAAAGAGCTGTGCTCTGGCCCCTCTAGCTGTTTTTCAGGAAGAAAGGAGCCATCACTGGGGAGGGGCTGTGTGCATTTGAGGCAGGAAACAGGAGCCTGATTGTTGCTTTACCTTTGGATCCTTTAATAAGGGGTGCCACGGCCCTTGCTATGGAAGAGAGGGATTGGCCTGACAGTAATTACAATGGTCTTACATTTATCCAGTCTTGCACAAGGATTCCAAGTGAAGGTTGTCAGGACTTAACCTCAGAGACTCATGGATTACTCCAACACATAAAACCACGGTGGAGGATATTAGGGTTATTTCTCTCATCTGTTCATCTGATTTCCTAAGCTCCTAAATCCTTGACTTAGAGAATTTACTCTAGATTCTCGTCATTCTTGCCTTTTCTCCTTTTCTCTCCAAAGCCTTTCGTCTTTTTATAACTTTACTTATTTCTTCCCTACAAGCCCTTTGGTCCTCAAGCATAGGCCCTCTGCTTAGGCTGCTGGATTCGGTGGTGGGAGCGGGTTGACAAGAGGCCTCTCCACAGACTGATCTCAGAGTACATTATATCTAAAAGCCAGAAAGACCTTTAACGTTGTGAGGAGTGACCTCACTCCTATTGGCCTGTCTCCCATAGGTCTCCCATAGGTCCCTAAGCTACCCAGCTTTTAATTGTATTACAACAGTCTTCTAGAATGAACATCTTGGAAGGGGATGGGGGGTTTGGAGTGGGGAGAAAAGCCCAGCTCGCTATATTTCATTCTATATAGGCAATAAGTATTAGTTTTATTTTCAAGGGCCAAGAAATAACACAATCTACACTCAAATAAAACAGCTCTTTAACAGCTTTAAGCTTCTCTCCAGAGTAAGGAAAATAAAGTTGGCTTATACCTCTGTATTACATTAGCAGTGATCCAGGTAAAATAGGCTTTTCCCTGTGGTAGGTGGAGGTTGATGGTAAATAAATAGTGGTGAAACAGGTAGGCCCAGTCTTAACTTGACTCCTTTCTGACACCCTGTCCATGAGAGTGTATAATGTCGAGAAGCCGTAGGATGTGGGACCGTCACCAGAAGGTCGAATCTCTCCATCCCTTCCGTAGAGAGGACCTGGCTGCCGGGGGGCACTCGTCCACAACACTGAACTGTCTCTAGGTATCTCTTTGCTTGCCTGCCCTTTGGTGTTCTCCTTTCTTGGTAGCCTTTATCTTTTCATTCTCTCCTTGTTCTTTTCTTACACTAGCCTGTCTCCCACCTTCCTTCTTACCCACACTTCTACCCACCTGGAAAGATGAATTACATTTCGTTAACCTTCTGTAAGCCTAAGGTTGACCACCGTCCTCGTTGCCCAATGAAGCAACTCCATTAGGATCAACTGTGTGGGGGTCACATGGTAGCTCATGGAACAGACTTTCTCTGGGCACCCTATAAAGGTATCTGTACTTGTTTTTTGTTGGTTTGTATCAGAATAATTCAACTTCATAAAAGAAACATTGAAAAACAGAATAATAAAAAAAAAACTTCCTTAATTCCACCACGGTAACTCAGATATCTTTTTTTTTAATGCTTTAAAGAAGTAGTCTCTTTTTTTTAAGCTGTGGATTTCTCTAAGCTTCTTCATAAACCAAATTTTGGCTGCAAAACAACCAGGTTCTCTCCATTTCAAAGGAGACTGAAAGCACTTGGTAAAACAAGGCCAGCCTACTTGGTTGCTGTCCAGAAGTGAACTGACCCAATTTCTAAAACTGTCATCTGTTCACTGAGGTGTTTCTGTTAATGGTGGTCTGTGTGTGTGTGTGTGTGTGTGTGTGTGTGTGTGTTGTTGGGGGAGGTTTTTCATTTGTGGTCTTTGTACATATTGTAGTTCTATGGTATCTTCAAATGGAGACATATCTAGCCCAATGTCTATTCCACATGACTAAGAATTCTTTCTCCTCTTGCATCTAGTTTCCTAATTAAGAAAACTACCTCTCAGATTGATATCAGTACTAAATGGAAGTATTAATATAAAGTGCATTGTAAAATTTTGAACACTATACAGCTGTAAGATATTTTTAATATTCTTTAAAATATTTACAATCCTGGACATTAAAAGACTTTTTTCCCAAAGACAGTCTGCAATGATAATCAACATAGTTTTGAAGATTCTACATTAAGTGCCTACATCATCTTAGGCTCTGTGAGAGCAAAGAAAGAATATTCACAATATTTATTAAGAACTTTATATGTGACCTAATATTTCCCTCAATATTAGCCTGAGTTAGTTTTTTTTTTCACTCTTGACTCTGTCACAGAACCAATATACATGACAATGACCTAAGAACACTTGGGTGGCCCAGAGGGGCACAGAAAAGGATCCATAATTTAGTGCAAACTGTACACCCATGTTCTGAGGGGATGGGGATTGTGACATCACTGGAGCTGGGTGGAACTTCCTTGGGGAAATTATCTTCAAGAATCCTTGTCTGTTTATTATCTTCTTGTGCCCACCTTTCCTGTGTTGATACCAATGTGTACATTTGAATGGCATTCTGACATCAGGCATCTTTGCGAGGCATTTGGACAAGCTTCCCAGTTAAGTGCTGAATGATAGCTTTTAAATGGATCAAATATATATATTTAAAAGGAACCAACATGTATAGAGTTCTACTTTAAAACACAGAAATTCATTAGCATCTGCTTCTGGAAATTCAAGAGTAAAAGCATAATTTTTTGTCAGTCCATTTAAGATTGATTAGAATTAGATATTGAATTTTCTTGACTTTGAAGCAATGGCATCGTGTGCATCATCAGGGGGTGTTTGGATGTATTTAGACTACAAAGGTAGAATTCCAGGGTCTCTCCATATTGTACTTCATTGTTTAAAATGTTATTGCTGTGACTGAATAGGATATTTTCTTTGGAATCTATGTGTCTCAAATAGCCAGGGAGTGATCTGCAATTTCCTGACCCTATCTTCTTATTTATAAAAAGACTTTAATAATATTATGTTCACAGAATAGTAATGTGTGGAGTAGAAGTTTATCTTGTGAAAATATAAACCACAAAATTATTTTCTTAGTGGTGAAAGATATTAATATGGGAACACAGCCTTTGACCTCTCTGTGTCCTTGATTCAGTTATCAGATGTACCCAGGCCTGTCCATTCTCCAGCAGAGAAAGGCTAGTTGCTAAGAATTCAAGGTGGTTATAGTGAGCTAGTGTGATTATGAGTCTCTTTTCCTTTTCCTATAGAACATTTTCTATATTGTTATTATATCATTAAAAATAGTACATTTTAAAAGTGCTACAGTTCCATTTAAACCTGTAATTGCAGTCTTTATGGAAAGGTTCAGATATATGAATGTTTCATAGATGCACTCTGAAAAAATAATCCAGAAATCAGGTGATGGTAAGGACTTTTTCAATGTTTATTCTCTTCCCAAATCCACCCATAAATATTTTTCAAAGGAAAATGGCTATAAATCTAGTTAAGTAGTCAAAGATAGTTTTTATTTTTCCTTAATATTTAACAAATTAAGAACCCTAGAATCATACAATAACTGTTTTACTCTAAAATTTAATTCGAGTAAATAAAAAAAAATCTTCCTAATGAACCAGCAGCATGACTACAAACATGGGCCCTTATTCCATTTGAAGGAGGTGTTGGAGCATCTGGTTCACTTGGCCCTTGGAAAACTGGCCTGCTGAATTCCCTTCTGGGACACTGCCTCCCAAGGAGCTCTGTGAAAGATTCTGTTGCCTGTTAATCCTGGCAGTGGTGTAGTCAGGCTCCAGCAAACGCCTGTCTGTTCCTTTAGGCTTTGTGGGCAGCAAGGAAGGCATTGAGGTCTGACACACAGTAGGTAAAGCTCACAGGCTAGATCTTCCCTTCTTGAGGAAGTCAAAGCCTGAACTAGAAACTTAAATAACTGACCTCTCTGGCTTATTGATTACTGTGTCCTCAGTGTCCAGGACCTAATAAGTGCTCACAAAATAGCTACTGAATGATTAAGTGTTCTTGTCCCTGTGTGTTTGTCTGTGGTCACTCTGAGCATATAATATGCATCCTTTCCTTGGCCAGAGACATGCCCCGTGCCCATGGCCTCTTGAAGAGGCCTCCAGACTCTTCATTTGACTCTCGAGACCTGCACCATCCAATATGGGAGCCACTAACCACATGTGACTATTTAGCTTTAAACTCTACTAAAATTACACAAAATAAAAAAAATGCAGTTCTCAGTTGCACTAGCCACATTTCAGTATTAAGTGTGGCTGGTGGTTTCCGTACTGGCCAGAGCAGACATGGAGCTTTGCCGTCATGGCAGAAGGCTGCGTGGCACACAGCACTACTCTGTGCCTTCTGAAGCCCAGCTCATGGATTTCCTTTTTCTCTGTGTTCGCAGTACAGCTGCCTGCTTCAGCAACTGAGGTCTGCAGGAACAAGAGACTCTTCAAGAACAGCCTTGCATTGTGACATGTCTGATCCCTCGCTTCAGTCCCTGCAGCATGAACAAGGTAAGAGGTACTTCGAGGAATCACACTTAGGTCTTCCTAATGGTACCATGATGTCTTCTGGGTACATAGTGTCTTTCTGTGTTGTAAGGACATTGCTTCTCCTGCGCAAAGCATTCCAGAGGTTGGAGAGCTATGTGACCCCAGGAAGCAATGTTTCCGGTCAGGGTCCAAGGAACTGGTGGCCACTCTGGGGTGGTACAGTCCTTTGGAGGTGTCACTTGTGTTTGCCTGAGGCCTCTGAGTTGCCGAAATATTGGTTGTTAGTACCACTCTCTTGATATGAGTATGGGAAGATTAAGGCTCTGGAGCCAGACTACCTGGGTTTAAATATTGGCTCTTTCAGATGCTAGCTTTGGTGATCCTGGGCAAGTGTCTTAACTTCTCCATGCCTCAGTTTCCCCATCTGTAAAATGTTGATGTTAATGGTACCTACCTCATAGGGTTGTCGTAATGATCAAATGAGTTAATATGTGCACCAGTGGTTAATCTGTGCCCCATCACATTATAAGCATTTGCTGTTGTGTTTTGATGTGGGGTACATTGAATAGATATTATCTATTAGTCAGTATTGCTAGGGAGTCTAGTATTGGTACAGCAAGCAGCAAGTGATTACCAGATGGGCACTCTGGAGATAAATGGTGAATGAGGCTTTCAGCAAGTGACAGATAATTTGGGGGCAGTGTGGCTAGTGTTCTGATGAAGCATGTACCGGAAGCTCTGGAAGCTCTGAGGAGGGAACATCTGACTCTGGGGTATCTGGAAAAGATAGTATAGGGGACACTTTGAGTTGGAACCTAAGTGATAAATGGTCACTTCTTGGATTTAGAAGTAGGGCAAGGTGTTCCAGGTGAAGGAAACAGCCTGTGTTTAGGGACACAAGCTGACACAAATGAGACACAAATGAGAACGTCTGGGGTGTTTCAAAAACAACGAAGAATTTGGTACATCTGGGCAGAACTCCTCAACCTTCACACTGTTGACATTTGGACCAGGTAATTCCCTGTGTCTGAGAAGCTGTGCTCTGCATTGAAGTGAGTTTAGAAGCCTCCTCCTCTCCTTACTTCAGTGGCAATAACCAAAAATGTCCCCCGAACACAGCACTGGTTGAGAACTGCACGGGTGGGAGATGGCAGATCTGAGCCGGAGAAGGAGGGAAGGGTCCCATTCTGAGAGTCGCCGGAGGATGTCAGACGGGGAGAGACAGTTCCGGAGGCCTGCAGGAAGAGCTCGGTTATCACTTTGTCTCTGGGTTGTGACAGAGTTGGACAGTGCGTTTGCATGGTTGGTCTTAAAAGGTATTATGGAAGCTCTAGGCCTTTAGAAAGTCCATTTTCCTTGTTGAGATTCTTGTACTAAGTGCCCCTTTCCAGTGGAGATATTTCCCGTAGCCATTTGTTTGGCCTACGCAGAGGCTGCTGCTTTACCCCACCTGAAGAGATCAGGAAAAAATAAGCAATTATTTTTTTAGAGGTTTTCATTTAGCTGAGCCAAGTCATAGAGAAGGAAACCTTGTGCTTAAACTTGCCACTCCCCCACCCCCACCCACAACCTGGGTTTGAATACTTACCTTTAAGCAGTGTTTGAGAAGTGCGCTTTTGGAACACTGGAAAGTCATGCTGGGAGGGCAGGGAGGGGGACCCTCATTGCAGACCTTGACCCTGTCGGAATTTGGTATACCGAAAAACTGAGACACTCTGGGATGTCTCTGACTGGTAAGCACGGTTTGCGATGACAGCCCTGCCCTGAGTTTCTCCAGGGCAGCTCAAGACCTGATGTCACGGTTTGGCTCCTGACACACAGCTGGGAACCAGACTCCTTAGAAACTTCATGTGTCTCAGTAGGTGTGTCTATGGCTTGGGAAGTTACGCCCGCCCGAGTGGCCCAGTGAGTGCTTTATTTTATATTGCAGTATTTTAATGTAATGTAGTGATTACGTGTGATGTGTAACCATCATAGGTCAGCATTTTTCCTTGCGGCTTTCTTGGCATAAAACATAGAATAGGTCACCCTCTGGGAAGGAAACAGATCTTCTTGGCATAAATAAAATTAGAGAATCACTTCATCAATTAGGATATGTGAGAATGTTGAAAATGGTTTTTTTGGGTGTGATTGATTTTCTAAGAAGATTTGTTCCTAGAAAGCTGGAGACATTTGAACTGTGCACTTTCCACTTTCTGGGATATACACAGTAATCACTCTCCTTCCTCCCCAAACCCCAGCTAGCCTATGGGGCCCTCAGTTAGGAGGTACTGGGATGGAGGGTGGTCGAAGCATTCCAGAGGTCAGGGTTATTGATTCTTGAGAAGTGCCAGGGCACCTCTCACCACAGACATCAACAGCTCTCTTTTGGGCCACTCAGAGATGACACCTCTAGACAACAGAGGAATAGCCCCCCTGGCCCAGGATTGGCAGTTTTGCCAACTTAACAGGGCTAACCTGGTGGTCAGTGAACTGCTGTCTGCAGGGCAGGACCTTGATTCCTTGAACTTCTGTCTTTGCTGGAGTCTGAGGCCACACCAGGAAGGGGTGCCGTTCCAGCCCTCAGACACCTGGCATGCCGGTGCATGAGCACTGGCAGAAGACAGCAGTGAGGGCATTCCCTGGGCACAATGCTTCCCACGAATCTCGTGTCATTCCCTAAGGCAAGAGCACATGGAACGTGTCAGTGTGATGGAATGTGTCAGTTTGTTTTCCAACACGTCAGGTTGACACAGAGTGGATTCACCTTTTCAGTCTTATAAAGAGACTTGGCTGGGCTTTATGTTCCAGCCTTTCATGTTAAAGAAAGTGTGGCGCACAAATTTTCCCAGGGTACTCTTTCTCCCTGGCCCTCATGCAGCCTTGAAGACCATCTTTCCAACTTTCATACTCTCCTTAGATCTTTTTGCAAAAGCTGACTTTCCAATCTTTATAGCAATGGAAAACTTTAAAATTAGGATGTAACTTTAAATTCTGCCAAAAAGTCTTCATCTTTCCATTCTCTTGGTCATGCCCTTGTTAATATGTATAAATATACTACACTGTTTATATAATATAAGTTTTTGCTAGTAAGAAGGATTGTTTGGGTTTATTTGTGTTATCCATATGTTATTATGCTATAAAGAGAGAGCTTTAGGGTGCAACTCAAGAAATCATAGTCAAATGGGAGGCAGGTTGGATAGCATAGGGTTTAGTAGAGGCAAATTGGGCAGGATGATGTACACTTACTATGTACCACTATGTAAAACCAGGAACTAGCAGGAGCAGTGTTCTTGGAAAATCCCTCTTCCTAAAAGCAACCTTGGAAGTAGGATCCTAACCTCTTTCCAACACGGTCCTCATTTTCATGAAAGCATATCACATGCCATTTGTTCTCTGCCTTGAATTCATGAAGATACTTCATCCGATTGAGAGACTAATTGATTTTTCCATTATCAAATGGAATCCTCCTCTTCCTCTCCCCACAGTGAAAATGAACCTTCCTGAAAACTGTTTCTTCCTTGTTATGTTCAAAGAAAGCCAGATCAGATCGTTATTGCTTTGGACAAATGCCATAGCATCCAATGGAGTAGAGTAGTGTCTCTTATTTCTCTTGGTGGGGGGATGTCGTGGTTTTGCCTACTATCTGCCCAACAGATTATTTTTCCTCTGAATATTTTCCAGCATTCATCTCCATACCCTGCTGCCAGGTTTGAGGCACTTTCACCTTTACACTCAGATCAATATCTCTACAGTCAACTAAAAAGTAAAACTGAAATTTACTTTCTGCCTTCATTTAGAAGGGTTTTTTTCTCTTTTTGCTTTCCCCACCTTTAAAGGCAGCGAAACCCAGAGCTCATTACCCCCGGCTCCCCACCCTAACATGTAGCGTACACATGACTCTATTTGATTAAAGATCCGTTTCTCCAACACATGTTTACCAAGTGCATGCTATGTGCCAGGCACTGTGCTTGCAACACATCAGTGAAGAAAGCCAAGGTCTTTGCCAGCTGAAGTTTCCATTCTGGCCAAGGTGAGAAGAGTCATCATATCCCAGAGGTTTAATATGTAAACATAAACCTAATGTTAACATTTCTTCCATTTCAAACTTCCATCACAGAAAGAGCAAGTTAGCAAAGCACCTGGATGCAGTATAAGGAATTGGTGGAGAATAAACATGTAAGACCTCTCTCTTCCCCTTCCTAGGAACACTCTTGGTAGTTTCACCAAATAGCCAAGCTACATTTAATGAACCTCCACTGTTGTTTTTCTGAAGGCCATGGCCAAGCACCCCTTGGGGCAGACTTTGAAGAAGTATCGCACTCCAAAAACTAGTGCCATGGAAGAAAATACAAATAAGTATTAAATGATCTTGGAACAAAGAAGGCCTTATTAATTTCTGGTGGCAAAATTATAAAAGAAGAAGATGTATGTCAAACCTGAAAATTTCTTTCCATCCGAAGACATTCTGAACTGCCCTCAAAGACAAAAGACAAAACAGGGCAGTATTTACCACATGTAGGACAGAGTTAGCTGAGGTAGTTTACTGAGTTTTTACACTCAATATGGTAAACATTACCATTCTAATAGAAAATGTGCAAAGAATAGAACAATAAAACCAAAAAAGGAAGAAATATGGTCAGTAAATGACATATAAGAAAATATGCTACCTTGACAGTTGCTAAAGAAACGCACATTAGAACGAGGAGACGGCTTTCCAGCCCATGCTCAGTTGCTGAGGCTCTGTGGGACTTACTCAGAGAAGGGAGGGATGGAAACACTAGGCTCTCATACACGGAGAAGGGACACGTTTCACCTTTCGACTCAGAAATTTCACTTGTAGAACAGCTACCGCAATGAAATTTCAGTGAATGTATACAAAAGTTGAGGTAAGATATTCATCACATATTGTTATAATAGTAATTTTTAAAAGGTAGTAACTATGGCACAGCCATACAGTAAAAATACCAAGGGGGGATGGAGGGATACTTGATGACATAAAAACATGTCTAAATGTACTGTGAAATGTCAAGTCACATAAC